GCGTCTTCGGTGAGTGAGGATTGGACGATCTGAAGCAAACAAAGAGCGAGCGGGCGCGAAGTCGTAGATTGGCCTCTCTGGGCTGCAGCAGTAGAGTGAACAGCGAAGCAGTCGGTGAGGTAGTCCGTTTCGTAGCGAGGCAAGCCAAGAGAATCAAGCAAAAGGGGGCCGTCGGGCGGGTGAGGCAGAAGCCGTGGGAGACAAGCAACCGGGAGAGGCCGTCTTGGGGCTTGGTACTGGTCGTGGAGAGAAGGCCGACAAAGAATCCCGGGTGATGTGAGGCGCTGATACCGTGGGACGGTGGGATGAAGCAAAATTGGAGGACGGGAAAGGACTCTCGGAGCTCTGGACGCGACGGAGGTTCCGGGGAAAGCTGGGAGCTCCTGCAAAATTTCCACCTTGAGCCCCATACCCCCCAATAGCACGTCGTCTAATTACCCGCACCTGCCCCCCTAGCCTTACAGGCGATCATTCACGCGGCAGGGAGGCTCTCGCAGCTCGGGACAACGCGCCGCGCCAATGAGATTAGTAGTTGCCCCTCCTAGGCGGGGTCGTCTTGGGGCAAGTACAGGAGAGTACAGCGCCCAGCCAATACTTGAAGGTGCACTGAAGAAACGTGGCCGGCAGCAGCCACAGCCGTCCACCGGCGTTGCATGCCGAGTGTTCTGAGAGCCTGCGCGCACCTCTTTGGCGCGAACTGTTACACTGCCACTTCACTCACACCGTCTGCTGCGTGTTTCTCAATACCATTTCTTCCAAGACGTTAGAGCTGTAGATCTTGATTGTAGCTCTGCATTAGATACAATTAACAGCTTTAGCAATGAGTTGGTCTCTTGGGCCTATTCCGGTTTTTTCCGCAAGTTCTCTTGGCTGGCGTGAGTGCTCATACCCAGGATCACTATTCTTCCCATGCGCCACATCGCATGCTTACGTACTTCCTAGCCACAGGTACGTGGAGAGACATTTGAGGCTGATGGGCCAGAAGAGACTTACGCCGCCGCGACATCTGCCCACCAGCCGGAAGTACCTCAGGCCAGGCAGGCGCCTCAGCCCACTTGGACTGCAACGGTTGCACTGCCAGCGCCTTTGAGCGAACGACCAAGATACTGCCCGAAGATGACGAAACACCACGCGGCTGAAAAGCGACCCCAGAGTACCATCATCCCATCGACCCTTGAGGACACGCTGATCGAACCCCTCGAGAGCCTCAATCTCCTCCTGCCTTTGAAACAGCACCCTGTCGCTCCATTCTACTGTATCTGAACATCTCTCGCCCATTCTCGCCGTTGTTCCCAACCTATCAAGCCCGACTTGCATGAGCCTCCGTCCAATTCCGGCCGACGACCTAACCACCATCAACCACCTCTCCATCGACGAAAGTCAACCACAACAACCATCATTTACTCGATATTGAAAGCGCAAACACATAAAAGACACAGAAATAAACTTCACCATGCCCCCTCCACCTCCCCCGCCGCCGCCGATGCCTGCGATGGGCGGCCCTCCTCCGCCTCCCCCGCCGCCAGGAGGTCCTCCTGGAGCTGGCAATCTACCTTCGAGACCACCACCAGGAGGCAGAGTACGTTTTTGGAGCCCACAAGTGGATTTGGAAGCTTTGTCACAGCATCATACTGATACGAGTCACAGGGCGCTCTCCTCTCCGACATCACGAAAGGCAAGGCTCTCAAGAAAGCCGTTACGAACGATAGATCTGCGCCGGTAGTTGGGGGTTCGTCTGGTGGCGTTTCCTCCGGAGGACCGCCTCTAGGAGGTGCTCCTCCGGTCCCAGGCTTTGGTGGTGCCCCTAAACCTCCCGGTGGCCTCGCTCCTCCGGTGCCCGGAAATCGAGCTAGAAGCAATAGCGACCAGAGCGGGCGAGAAAGCGCGCCTGCACCACCCACACAGGCAGCACCACAACTAGGGGGACTCTTTGCGGGAGGTATGCCGAAGCTGCGGAAGACTCGTGGCGCCGTTGATACCGGTGCTTCTATGGACTCGTCATATCTGTCGGATCCCGAGAGCAATGTGCGGTCGTCCTCTGCGCCGAAGCCACCCACATTCGGAGCACCGAAACCTCCTGGCGGTGCGGCGCCGGCCCCGCCGGGAAGGCCGCCTTTACCTCCTCCCAACGCCGCACCGGCCCTGCCACCATCCATTGCCAACTTGCGCAAGACGCCCAGCGATCTACCTCGGCCAGGCTCTTCAGCATCGATGAAAGGGCCTCCGCCTCCTATAGGCAAGAAGCCGCCGCCACTGCCAGCATCCCGGAAGCCCTCGACTACGCCCAGCCACCCACCTCCATTACCTGGGTCGCCAGCTCCAGGAGCACCCCCTCCACCACCTCCGTCGTCTGCTCCAGCACTTCCGTCCGCACCCCCTCCGGCGCCGCCACCACCCCCTGCTGCTGCTGCTCCCAGAGCTCCAGCACCATCGCCTCCGTCGAGGTCCCCAGCACCTCCACCTCCTCCACCGGCCTCAAACGGACCTTCGCCGCTGGCAATGCAAGCCGCTTTACGAGCAGCCGGACAGGCATCTCCAAGTGCTGCTCCACCGCCTCCCCCATCGGCGGCTCCCTCGCCACCCGCCTCTGCACCTCCTCCGCCAGCAGCACCCCCTACGAGGGCCCGTGCTGGTTCTGGTCTACGATCTTCTATGCTAGATCCAAGCGCCTTCACTCTGGCTCCCAATGGTGCAAAGAGTCCAAGCCCTACTCGAACGAACACGATGAGCAGTCTCAATGTCGGCGGTGGGGGTCAACGATACATCGTACAAGATCCTCGATGGAAGTTTCAGGATGATGCTATGTTGCCAAAGCCAAGGGACTTTGTAGGCGGTCCCCGACGATACAGAGCCGGCAGAGGTAGCAGTGTTCCTCTTGATCTCAGCGCCCTATAAGGGGGTCGGACTAGATACGGATTATTCTGCAGCCTGATCAGCATCAAGCTCTATCAAAGTTTGGGTCTAGAGTGGCCGACAACCTTGGGCCATCTACATGAATCAAACGATCTGCACTGCTATGGTTCTTGGTGGAAACGCGCCCCTTGTTGCTCCATGGTAGTCATCCGACTGAGATTTTTCGCAGAAGACGGAGACGATTCTATTTCGACGCCTTCTGCCGGTGAGCTATTGTTAGTCGCCAATTGAGGATATTCTGGAGGATTCGGACTCCGCAAAATCTTATACATCGGGACAAGCATTCGCAACACATCCTGAAGGCGGCGTCGTATCGGCACTTCTTGGCCCCGTTACCTTGGCGAAACGATCGACTGAGACGAATCTAGATCTCTCGGATGTACTCGTCATGAGAAATCTCTTGGTTTTCTTGGTATTCTTGGTACCAAGAACCATGGTTGCTTGTCGAATGCTTACACTCAACGTCCTCTCCTTCGGACGGAACGGGGGGTTTCTACATATTCTCTTACAGGGCCGTCAGGGACTTTGAGGGGCAAACGGGCTTGGCATGCAAGCAAGCACTCGCAGCGATCTGGAGAGGGAAAAAAAGATCAAGGGATCACGTCATTCAAGAGAGCCATCACGCTAGCGAAATACTCGGTCTTTCTGTTAGACATTGGTAGTAATCAGATTACTTACGACATCCGGGAAGATTTTAAACCTAATCGTTGCTGGTATATTATTGATTATCAACCGCTCTATCTTGACGAAATGGGTAAAACAAGTGCGGAAGTGGATCCATCGTTGTGTATTAGTCACGTCCGTCCGTCTTCGAGGCGGTCTTCATCTACCTCAATCCCTGAATGCTAGTCACCTCCGTATATGCCCGATGGGAAGAACATTCAGCCCAGCACGATCACGATCCTACATTCCAACAGATTGATAATGATAGCCCCTCATGTTGTCCGGTTGAACCTGGCATGCGTCACAAACAGGGCACGTCAATCGAAGTAATTCGGTTCAACTTTCCAACTCAGGGAGTAAGCCCATCCTTTCTTTACGCTTCAGACGAGGGAGCTCACCTAATTACACAAACGCAACACAGCCTCGTTGACACAATTGGTAATCAGGAATCAGGTCTTTCGTTCGGCTCTTGACTTGTTCGACAGACTCGCGACAAGAGACCGAAAAAGTTGAGACGAGAAAGCCCGGCCCGCGTAAAGTTGACCGGTTGAGCCAAGTGTCAGCATCTGTAACCGAAACTTGCTTCGGCGTGAACTCCAAAAAAAAAAAAAAAGACTTGAAGTTGAAGAGAGAGAAGAGAGAGAAGAGAGAAAGACTATCCGTAGAAACCCCAGTAGACACTCCCAAAGAGGTCGAGTTACGAATAAGGCTCAGGCTTCCAAACGTCCCAAAACAGGCATCATACGAACTCCTCGGGGTCCGGGGGAAACTCACTGCCCAGTCAAGACAACATCTTATCACATGCACAATATACGGAAAGCGGCGTCCCCGGGAGACGAGGAATCTTCATGTGAACCGTGCCCCGTTGATTGATTAAAGCTACCTCTTGTAGGGTGTGTGTTTGGGAGAGGAGAAGAGAAAGAGCCCCGTTGGTGTCCCCTAAATGAGGGTTTCAAATGTGTCCGCCGGCCGATTGCTTGCAGAAAACGAAGAAAAATCACTTTGACCCATGGGGTCAATAGCCCCGCGTTGAGGTTACGATCGATAATCTCACACCTTTGAACAACTCCCCGCCCTGATGCTTCGAGCAAATCGAAAAAGAAAAAAAAAAGGAACTTGTACGCGAACCCCCTCCCCCTGAACTGGACCTAGACAAGAAAGAGAAGCTTTCACGCCATGCCGGCCCAGATCCTTGGCTGGTCTCATCCACTTCCACTCCTACACCCCAGATCATAGATCGTTGATCATTTCAGATGAAAGTTCAAGAACGAAAGACTCAGAAAAGAAAGATTGATAATGTCCCCGCTCCACGTAAGCCACCCCGGTTTGAACCCCCGTTTTCGTTTGCCAGGCATATTCCGCGTTTCTTTCCCCCGTTTAGGAAGAAGAGGTATCCATGAAAAGATGAGAAAAACTTGCAGTCGTCTATATTCGTCAATGTCCGCGCTCATACCCGTTCGTGACGAAAAGAGAAGAAAGCCGACAAGAGGTGTATGAAGAAAAAGGCTTGGAAGCCCCAAAAGGTCCAGTACCCCGGATCCGCCCGTACGTAAATAGCATCCGACGCTTCATGATTCAGACGACATGTTCGACGATCGACGCTGATTCAAAAATCTCAGGCGACGACGCTTCGACCAACCCCTGCACCCCACCTCAGGCGACGAAGACCGCCGCCGGACGATCTAATCACCTCCCGTCCGCACGAAGATGAATCTGCGACTGCCGAGGCGTTGACGCCTACTCCTGCTGACAGAGCTTCCTGCCGTCCTACTTCACGACCGATCACGTAGCCCGCGCCAAATCCTACCACAGACACCAACACCACCACGCCAGCACTGACAACCCATGTCAGCAACGTCGGGCTAATGAGGGCATCCTCGTTGGCCACGACCTTCTTCTTCTTAGTCGCACGCGATGAGCGTATCTGCGAGGAAGAGGTTCGCTTGTGCTTATCGACACCGTCGCTCTTGGGTGATGAAGGGGCAGAAGACACCGCCGTCCGTGACGGACGGGCAGCCGGAGACTTGGAAGGTGAGGCGGTCTGAGGCTGGGTAGGTCTTTCAGCCATGAGCTCAGATTCGGGCATCAGCCGTAACTCAACAGGTTGAGAGCTAGGTCCGACCCCAGCATGCGCGGGTGGAGCGCCTTGTCGCTCAGTAGTATCCTTATACTTGGGCAGACCACGGGCGGCAGCGGCGCACGACAAAAGAGTCGTGAGAGAAGCACGGAGAGCCGCGTCATTATCGGCTTGATATGCGGGGGACATGAAGTTTGGCGGGCCCCGGCTGACTCTAGTTTGAGATCGTTGGGATAATGCGGGCCTTACACCGCTGTGCGGATGCTGGTGGATCGCCGAGCTGGCCGAGTGCCTCCTATCCAAGCCCGAGGGCGGATGAGAAAATGCGTTTGGCTGAGGTCTGAAGACAGGATCATCGGAAACGCGGCCCAGTGCGGTAGCAATCTCGTCGCTGTCGTCAGAGTCCTCCGAGTCCTCCTGCGCCGATGGCTGTTGTTGGAACGACGCCCGCACCGGAGGCCGAACGTTCTCGGTCGAGCTCGTCAGGCATCGGTCCTCCTCGCTTTCACTCTCCTCGTACTCCTCCTGGCTACTTGTACCCGCGTGGATAGCCGTCTGGTCGACGTGGAAAGATCGTGGCACAGGTTGATTTTGGTGATGTAAGCGACGTCGGCGGGCGGCCATAGACCCACCGACTCGGAGACCGGTGGTAACGATCTCGTCGCCGATGGAAGAAAGAGACGACGAAGAAGGTTGCGACGAGACCTCTACCCACGAATCTAAGAGGAAAATGTCAGCATGCCATCGGCCTGGCCAGCTGAGTGGCTGTTATCTAGTGACTGACCGTCATTCCGTCTGCGAGGGCCCGCGGCGGGTTGTGGTCCGTTCGCCGACATTCTGTTGTTCTGGAAGTTGTGTCCTGCGCGGTCGTCGCGCTGCTGTCCATCCATTTTGAGGTTTATATTTATTTTTGACGCCGTTGAATTTCGAAAAGAGTAGCCAGAGATTTAGAGAAAGGTCGTTCGTAATCGTCAGACGTCGTTGTCGTCGTGGTCGTCGAGGGAGGTGGTTGGACGTGTGTGGGGGGTGCGTCCTCCGTCCCAAACCCCGCGTTTTGGAGATAAGATACGCTCGTGAGATCTCCGTAGCAAGGGGTCCGAGTTGTCTGTTCGCTCGACGTTGAAAGTGGTTCGAAAAACGTGCTGGTTCACGACGAGAAAAGGAGTTGAAGTAAGAAGGGGAAAACAAAAAAGTAGGTAAGAAAGGAAGGGTTGCAGCAGACCGCTTCGACTATAGCCGGCTCACCAGGCACGCAGGGTCGGTGAGATGGTGTTGAGGCCCGGCTGGTGGATGGCTGGCTGGGCCTTTGTGCAGCACGTAAAAGTCGGGGAACCTGGACGGAGGGGAGGGGCCTCTCTGTCTCTGTGTCCACCTTGAGCGTGCAATACGGCAGGTGGGATAACGGACGCTAGGAGATGATCTGGAATGTCACTGGATGTATATCTACAGCAGTTAGTCGCGGGGCAGATACCTGCTCCTTCGAGCCGGCGCTTGGAGGTTCCGGTCACCGTACCGTGTCAGGTGCCATCACCTTCGCCTTATCAGACGGGCGTTTGCTAGCTGCAAACAGCGCGATAAGCACAGTACGACTTTTCCTTGAACGAGGGAATGTCCTTGATATGGATGACGCTATCGTTACGGTCAGGGGGGGAGGAGAGACAGCCATACACTGCTCCGTACTCTGTACTGAATGGACGCATCCACGTCCACGTCCCGCCTCAGAACATCCCACTTTGGCACTTACACTACACACCGTCCGGGCCGCCAAGTGCAGGCGCTGCAGGGGGTCAAGTGGGGTCAAGATTCACGGCGTTTTGCAGCGGGAAGCGCGAGCTGCGCCCACCACGAGTCCCTCGACCACTTAACACCGTGACACCGACACCGGCTCTCCAAGTTTGGGTCGCCTATTGCGTGGTCTACCTCTGGACGGCAACATGGGAAATGCGGAGAGGGTTGCCGTCCGGTGCTGTTAGTGGTCTGTCGACGCCGCGACATGCATCCCGCGACAAGGACGATCCCAAGACACGCCGTGATTCTCGTCTTATAATCGTCCCCTAAGTCATGCCAGATTCCACTGACGTGCTGTCGTAGGTAGCACTGGACTGCCCCCCCTCCTTGACCATCTTTTCGCTCCACCGTTTCCCAACAGAATAGCCTCCGTTTGGCGCCTCGGAGGTTCTTTGAAGGGGGCCTACCTAGCTAGGTCAAACGACTGAGCAGGTTTTACAGCAATTTGCTGGCGAACAGGTGTTCTCCCGTGACGTTTGTTGGCTGAGAAGGGCGGGAGTGACCAAAAGACGGGTGTTCTAGTCGGATGGGAGGTTTTAGGTAAAGACACAACTTTACCCGTCATCACGGGGCTGAGTACGCACCTCGTGCCGCCCAATGACGCAGAGTTGCACATTTTAAGCTGGCCACGAGGCTACCGTCGTATAAGACCGAAATCGGGCAGTTCGGGCCCAATGAGAGACATGGAACCACATTCCCGTTTAACAACCCGACGATCTCAGATAAGGTCGCAGGCGACATCAAACATCACGAGGTAGACAAATGTGCAAAGTTGAAGGAGGGCAAATATGTATTCATCGGGGGAATGTATCAAAACTTTTATTACAATTGGAGCCGTTCCTAAACGCCGAGTCCACCTGGCAATATATGCCTTTTTTGAAATGACATTCACGGGGAGAAGTATACTTACTCCACATCCTGCATCGCATTGCATGGTATCGTTCCAAGTTCAAGAGTAACCGAAAGGGAAGAAAAACGCCTGACTAGCCACATCAACAGCCGAAGCCGTCGAAAGCAACCCCCAGAGCCCACAGAAGCCGTCGTCATCTAGAATCATCGAGTCCCCTCCATCGAGGTCTACCGCGCTGGCAGACATCGGGAAGGATCTTCCCCAGTTTCATGATAATAAGCCGTCTGCCCACTGTGAAGATGTTGCGGTGCAACGAATGCCCTCTTGGTCAACCCACAATAGCGTACAGATCCCGCGCCGTCTTCTTCCGTAGAAAGAGAGACTTGCCACAAGCCCACGGTCCAAATGAAAAGCCCTCAGGTCCATCTTGTCTCCCAAGGAGCTGCTCTCAAAGCCCACAATCCCAAAAGAGGGAAGAAACTTGTGTCGAACCGACAGCCCACAGTAGCCCACAGGAATGCCCGCGAAATGCCCTCTGATTAATCATCAATGTGCGGCATACATCGCCGTTTAGAAGGTGACCTTGGAGCCCTTGAAGTCACCGAAACCGCCACGGTTGGTGGAGGAGAAACCACCACGGCCGCCACGACCACCACGTCCACCGCGGTCACCACCGCCACGGCCTCCGAAGCCGCCACGTCCACGGCCGCCACCACGGCCGCCACCGAATCCACCGCGGCCACCACCCTCACGCTGGGGCTTCTGGCCGGCGTAGTCCAGACGGACAGCGCGAGCGCCGCGGCCCTCACCAACGTAGCCACCGTTCAGCTGAGTGAAGGCAGTCTTGGCATCCTCGATGGAGCCGAAGGAGACGTATCCGAATCCCTTGAGGTTACCCGACTCACTACAAAGGCATTAGCATTAATCAAGTTGGCAGAAATTGTCGAAGATACTCACGGGTCAGTGGGCAGACGGACGCTGGTGACCTCAGCAGCCTCAGCGAAGAAAGCGCGGACGGAGTCCTGGTCAACGTCGAAGGGAAGGTTGCCGACGAAGAGGGTGTCGCTCTCGGGGGAGACCTGGTCGCCGTGCTTCTGGGCGCGGTCGAAAGCGCGGGCGGCGGGGTTACCCTCACCCTGGGGCTTCTGGCCAGAGAAGTCAATGTTCATGGCACGGCCAGAGAGCTCACGGCCCTGGGCGGCTTCGAGGGCGGCGGCAGCAGCCTCGGGGGTGGAGAAGTCGACGTAACCGAAACCACGGCTACGGCCAGTGTTCTTGTCGGTGACGACGCGAGCGCCGGTGAGGTCAGCGAACTCCTCGAAGGCGGCGTACAGGGAGTTGTCATCGACAGCCCAGGCAAGGGAGCCGACGAAGAGGGTAGAGCTCTTGTCAGAGACATCAGTGCGGGCCTTCTTGCCGGGGATGACGGGGTCGTCAAGGGCCTTGCGCTTCTTGGAGGGCTCCTCAGCCTTGGTCTCAGTCTCGGATGCTTCCTTAGAGTCGGAGGTCTCCTCCTCATCGGAGTCAGAGTCGGAAGAGTCGGAGTCGGAAGAGTCGGAGCTCTGTGAATAATTTGTTAGAAATTGTCATGGTCCTCAAGACGGTAGTTCAACTCACGGCCTCAGCCTTCTTCTCAACCTTCTTCTCGGTCTTCTCCTCCTCCTCAGACTCGGAGTCGGAGTCAGACTCGCTGTCAGAAGACTCCGCCTTCTTGGCGGCACCGTTGGTCTTGGGGGCAGCCTCAGCCTCGGACTCGGAGGAGTCGGAGTCAGAGTCCGAAGAGTCAGAAGACTCGGCCTTCTTGGCGGCAGCAGCCTTGGGGGCAGCCTTCTTGGCGGGCTTCTCCTCCTCAGACTCGGAGGAAGAGTCATCGCTGGAAGCCTCAGCCTCGGACTCAGAAGAGTCGGAGGACTCGCTCTCGGAAGACTCAGACTCAGGCTCGACGACCTTCTTGGACTTCTTGGAAGCCTTCTTCTCGACCTCCTTGGCGATGGCCTTGGACTTGGCCTTGGGGCTCTCAGAAGCCTTGGTGACGCCAGCGCCCTTCACCTTGGTGAGAGGGTCAGCGGCCTTGGTGGCCTTGGTGGATGACTTGGTCTTGCCCATTGTGATGGTATTGAAAGGGTAAACGGAAGGGGTATCAAAAACAAGAGAGTGGGATTTGGAAATAGGCAAGAGAAAGACTTTTTTCCAGAGAGGTTGCGCAAGAGAAAAGTTGATAGAAGCTTGGGGGTGGGAGCTTGACTTTTAAGGCCAGGGTCTCGGTGGTTGGGGCGAAGGGTCTTGCGACAGAGATTTTTTTTGCGATTTGCCAACTTTTCAGCGGGGCTTCTCCCTCGACCGACGCGGGCGGTGTGCGAGGGGCTGCAAGGTTGCGGGTCCTGCTGGGTACGTACCGAAGAGCCGTAGCCGAGTCGCTCTGGGGGAAAGCAGGAACGACGGCCATGGTCCGTGAGCAATGGGGGCGCGACTGAGCCTGCGAATTAAGGCCGCCGGAATCTGGCTGACCTCTCTAGCTGCCAGGTTCCTCCAATCCCGACAGCCAGCGGTCCCGAAGTCGACCATCACGAATCCACGAAGCTTGACCTCACTCCGTCCGCGACCTCCGACTTCCCGGCCCAATTCGAACTTCAACCCTTCCTCACGAAGACGACTTTTGAATACACAACTCAGTCACGATGCCGACCCCCGAGTCCGCGATGTTCCTGGCACAAAAGCCCAAGGTGCCCCCAACCTTCGACGGCGTCGACTACGACGACACCAAGGCATTCAAGCAGGCACAGGACGCCATCATCCGTGAACAATGGGTCGGCGCCATGATGCTGCGCCTTGTTGGCGAGGAATTGGGCAAGTGCTATAAGAAGGAGGGCGTGAACCACCTGGAGAACTGCGGTCACCTTAGAGGTTAGTAGGCCTTTTCGAGAGGCAAAGAGGGCATATTTGGCCAGGAGTCCGGGGGAAGAGAAGACACTGATTCAGTATACAGAAAAGTACTTGCAACTGTTGAAGGAGAAGAAGGTCAAGGGTACATTGTTTGAGCAGCAGAACTACATCAGCAAGCAATAGATGGGCTGTATGATGGGATGGAGTAGAAGGGACTATTGTGGAGCAAGGTGCGGCGCTCTCGAGAAAACCTCTTTCAGGATTTAGAAATGAGGAACGTAGAGACGAGGCTGTGACGGTACCATGTCGACTGGCCGGCGCGTGATGGGCGATATCCCTCACGATATGTACAAATGAATCAAACAAGGCTTCTGGGGTTATGCATCTATCCGTTTTTCAACCTTTGGTCGCCCAATGACTCTTGAATCAGTCAGCTTTGAAAATTTTCTCGCTGCCAGCTAACAGAGAATTCTAATTATCATATTTTGTTCATCAATTGACCCTAATGAGAGGTGGTAAGTGAGGTTGAGGGTCTGGTAAAGCGCAGTACCCAGAACCTCTCATGCCAAGTTGCGCAACAGGCGCGTCCCGCCCGCCCCAGAATTTTTCCACCCCCGAGCTCCAAGCTCACGCATCCTCCAACACCACCAAAAGCTCAAGGTGATCCTCGTCGACGAACAACCCACAGAGATATCCAGCACCGGAGACACAAATCGACCGCGCTCGATAAAGCCCCAGATACAGAAGCCATGATTTGCAGAACATGCATGCGCCGCGGCGCCTCGGTCCTACCCCGTCTCCAGGCTCCTCGCGCCTCGTCCATCCTCGTCAGACCCTTCTCCCTCTCCGCGCCCTCAAGAAACGCAGCAGAAGCGCCTGCTGCTCCCGCCGCCACCGACGCCAAGGACGCGCCCCCGAAGCTCTCCTCGGCCACCGCAGATGTCCCCGATGCCGCGGCGCCCATCTCCTCCTGCCCGCCCGGCACCGTCCTCAACGGCCTCAACTACTTCAAGAACAAGACGGACCCCGTCGCTCTACCCGATGAGGCGTACCCCGACTGGCTGTGGACGGTCCTCGAGTCCAAGAGTGAGGCTGTAGAGTCTACGGATGACCTCGCCGCCGAGATGTTTTGTACGTTTCCCTTTCCCTCCCAACTTTCCCTGGCCCAAAAAAAACTTTGATGAGTACAACATCTAACATACAAAACTCGCAGCCAAGTCCAAGAAGCAGCGCAAGGCCGCCGCTAAGAAACAAAAGGCCCTCGAGGCCAAGGTCCTGGCCTCTGGCGACCTCGAGGCCCTCGCGCCAAAGGTTCCGCTGCCGCAGCAGTCCATCAACTTGCCCGGAGAGAAGGGTGGCGACGTCGAGCACAACCTCGAGGCGGCGACCAAGAGAGACGAGCTGCGCAAGGCGATGCGCAAGGACCGCAAGGCCAAGATCAAGGAGTCCAACTACCTCAAGTCCATGTAAGCGGGGGGATTCGTGGTGGCACCTTTATTGGGCTTATTGCATCTTGTATGGTTGCTGCATGTGTGGCAGCAAGGGGTCTGGAGTGTGTATCATAGAGAGCTCTCAAGAAAGGGAGCTCCTGTACAATATTTACGGTCGTCATGGCCGGCTTTTTATATCATCACCAAAATATCAGCTGGACGAATAAGAAGAACGAAGTTGTTAGAGCGCTGCGGGCTCTGCTTTCCAATATTAAAAGCTTGTAGGCATGATAACTATACATGGCCGTAGAAAATTGCTTTGAAGTGGATATTCTTGCCCTTCCGTTTGCAATCCTATTTGAACGCTTAAAGCATTCCTGCCTTAATCGTCGTCCTCCTCTTCTTCGTTGATAGACGTTTGCTTGAGCGCCAATTCCGCCCTCAGCTGCTTCAACCTGTCCTCCACACGTTTCCGCAGAATCTTGTTTTGTTGGAGAGCCTTCTCCTGCTCCTTCTTTGCAATTTCCGCCTTGAGATTGACGATATCTTCTCTGACGGCCTTGATTTCGTCCTGAGGCGGCTTGTCCTCGTCGTCATCATCGTCATCGTCGTCGTCGTCGTCATCTTCGTCCTCTTCACTAGCGACAGACTCATCCCCATCACGTGTGTTGGCTGCTGGTGTGCCGGCGTTCATAGTCATTGGCGTGGCTCCCTCAACTTGTGTTGCTGGCGTGCCAACCTCCGTCGTGGCCTGGTTCAACTCCTCTTCGAAAGCAGCCTCGAGCTCGGCCTCCAAATCATGGTCATCGTCGTCAAATAGTTCGCCGTTGGCATAGCCCTCAGAGGGGAAGTAGCCGCTGTCATCTGCCTCGCCATCGGCGTCCTGTTCGTCGTCGGAGTACTCGTCGCCAGACTGCATCTTTCTGTCGTCGATGAACTCATATTTGGAGGACATAGCGGCGGCATCCGCCTGCAAGAGTTTCTTAACCTCGTTCTCCTTCAATTCGATCTCAGAGCGACTAATAATCTTTGCGAATCTTTGATTCGTTGCGTCGTGCATCGGGGGCGTCAGACCGTGCGGCCACTTGAAGCCTGGCTGAATCATCGCGGGTAATGGTGCCTTCTTTGCCTCTTCGTCACTCTTTACGGGCTGGAAGACGAGAAGCATATGGCAGATGTCGGCAGACTTCATGAGCGTCTTCCGGTCCCAGGACTTCATTCCTTCCGTGATCGTTGGTAGCTCAACCATGACCGCTGCGTACGGTTGGTTTTTGACGACAACGACCGCACGCCGGCTTTCGTCGTCGAAAAACTTCATCATGATATCCGCGCCACCATCTTTTCGAGGAAGGCCGACCTTGCCTTCTTCGACGCACTTCCTGACGTATTCGCAATGCTCTCCTGGCATCATGCGCAAAATGAAGTGCTCCTCGATTGTGGGGTCCTTCTCTTGGTCGCTGGCTTCCGAGTCGTAGCCATCACCAGGGGGATGTACTGGTGGTTTGCCTTTCGACTTGACAACGATGTGACCCGATCTAGGTGTCGATACGTTTGGCGTCTTGAGAAGCTTGATCTTTTTCGAAGATGGTTGGTTTGCGCCGTCGTCATCTTCGTCTTGTTCCCTCTTCTTCGACTCGATGAGCTTGCTCGTGGGCTTCGATTGACGCCCAGCTTTTGTCTTGATAGGTGTTGGTGCTGCCGGCCCAGCCGGCGTTGGCGGTTGTGATGATTTGAGTTTGATCTTCATCCCAGAAGGTGTCGAAGCTGTAGGTGTCGCGCCGTTCTGTTCGCTGAATGATGTCTGTCGCGAATTCACGCTGAGCTTCAGCTTCGGCCGTGGCGGCGGCGGTGCACTGGTGTCTGGCATCTTTGAAGGTCGCTCGTCGAAATTATTACGGGTGTTCGCAGGAGTTCTTTTTGTCGCATCCAGGGGTTATAGTCAGAGTTGAGAGAAGGATTTCGTTTGTGTAGATCGGAAAGGCAGGCGCGCCTCGATCTTCGCGGGGAGGTTAAGTGGAGCGCATACGGGGTCCCTTTTTGATTGAAAACGCGGGAGACAATGTTCAAAGATTCGTTGGATCAAGTGCGCCGGAGTGGTCGAATTGGAGAGACTCTTGGCAGATCCGTATGCAATAGAATTCTTGGGTAGAGATTCGAAGGTGGGTGCCTCAAGGCCGGAGGCGCAAAGTTAGAAGCGGAAGTTGAGATCCATGGGTAATACCTTAGGTACCACGCCACGGTACTTACGCAGTAGAAAGGTACCCGCACCCTGGAAGGTAGCTGACCTTGAGCAAGACCAGCCTTGCAGATCGCGTGTCGTGGGTGGAAGCTTTAGCGTGATAAACGCTGGCGGCGTGGCGCACAGACCCGATTGCACCTTTAGGCAATGGAACCAACCGCATTCACCTTCCATCACCTTACTGGAGACGTTGCGGTCTGAACGAATACTCAGATCCATCTTGGTACGGAGTCACAGAGTACGTAAGGTAGTTGGCTGAAAGCAAGTCTTTTCCAGTTCCTACCTAGGATAACTCTGGACATGAGCTCTGTTGCCACGCTGCCTGTTGAGTTCCATCATCGCTATTTTCTCATCAAACATTGCGTCCTCTTCTGCTAGCCTTCTGCTGGCCGAAAACCATTCTATCAATATGCTTCACCCACATATCAAATGTTCTGCACTTTGAGCCTGCGTCTCACTCCAAATCATTCTGTAGCTTCGGGTCGTCCACAACCTGGCTAATATCTTCCCAGCGGAGCTCATTCCCTATGGCAATGAATCGGGATCCCTTGCGGGTCTTGAGTTTCCGAACTGAGCCAGAAAATCGTTTCAGGAGGTTTTCCTGCACAGAATTGGAAATTCCTTCGTCTTCAATGCCCTGAATAAAATCGTTGATGAATTTCCTCAACTCGTTGCCCCTCCTGTGAGAGGTTCGAAAGTACTCATCCATTTTGCCTTGCTTGTATCTCTGGAAGATCTCGAATTGCGTTGGGATGCGCTTGGGAGCATTGGGCTTTGCCGGTTTGGACTTGGGGGCTCTAGACTTGGATTTCTCGGGGAACGATTCAACGCGTCGCTTCGGTTGCTGTTGAGGCTTGGGTGGTGCTGAGACAGGCTCCTCAATGTCGACAGCTCGAGGCCTCTTTCTAACAACAGCCCGAACTAATACATGTCAGCTTCGTTCTCTGTGTTTTGGGGTTTGGATTTCCTACAGTTATCCGGGTCATCCTGCGTCGCTTGCAAGGACTGCTTAGCGACGAGTTGTGCAACCTTGCGGTCCAAAGCCGCCCTCTCTTCATCGCTTTGGAAGAGCCTATCTGCAAAAGCTCTAAGCTCTTCCTCCTGCTTCCGGATCTTTTCCTCTGCTGCTGCATAGTGATTGTTCAGTTCGGCTCCCAGATCATCCAGTCGCTTGGGCATGGGTTGCAGCTCCTGTAGCCTCGTCTCGCTGTTTTTGTTGGTCTCGTCGCTCTTCTCTTGGCGACGAGAAATGTCATCAAGAGTACGACGCATGGTCATGAGTTCTTGATAGATGACAATGTGGCTCATGCCAAAAGCCATCTGGGTTGCGGGAATGGTATTAGTCGCAGCGGCGCCATTGTCCCGGATCTATCGTGGTGTGTCAGAAGCCAAGTGATCCTACATAGAGCTCTACTATTGCTTACAGATGGTCTGTCAGGGGCAACTGCGTGTTCCAGGTTCGATGCCGTAGCTGGCCGTTTCTTCGACGTTCCCGTCGGCATTGTGATGATTCTAGCTTCCCCTGGTTCACGTTAGAGAGTAGGTAGACACAGAGAGAAGCGACGTGATAGGAGAACACACAGAAGTGGGTTTTCAAGGAAAGGGGAGATCAACGTGGAGCAGGCTGATGATATACAGAATAAGGGTCAAAGAACCGCCTGAGTCCCGTCTGGCGATGATTGAAAAGGGGTTGAAAGAAACTGAGGGCTTCGATTTCTCCTACGGAAGGCGGGGATGGCAGTTCAGGTGCCTGGTCCCAGGGTTTGCATGGCGTCAGAGGAAGTCAGGGCAGGTGCGAGGAGGCTCCTACCGTTCCCAGAT